ACCAATAAAAGAATTTAATACAAAAAAAAAAATAAATAAATAAATAAAACCCTACTGTTCTATTTTTAAAATGATTTGCCTAGAAGCTCAAATGTAAATTGTTAAAAAACAAACCACAACAAATGACAAGGTATAACATAGCAAATAGGTAAGGAAAAAAAAAAATCTTGCTTCTGCATTCCAGTGCCACTATGGGTCTATGTCCAAGCCTGGCTGTCTACTCTCTCAGCCAAGTCTGTAGAATTCTAGCTTTCCTCAAATAAATTCTATCTTTCTTAAATTACCCAAAGTTGCTACCTGCTGCTTAAAATTTAAAAACTTTAACTGGTACACAAGCCAAGTATAGCACTGAACACTGTTAAATATCTAAAGAGTCTAAAGCATTACCAAAACTAAAAATATAAGTTTTTTGTTTTTTGGTACCAGGGATCAAACTCGGGTCCTTGCACTTGCACAGCAGGCGGCGAAACCACTGAACTAAATCCCTGGCCCAAAATATAAGTTCTATCACAATTTATTGGTTCCAAATTAATTATCCTGAACACCTTCAATTAACGTTTAAATTACTGAATGTTTCAGACTAGTTTTATATATCATTTAAATTTTTAATTTGATAGATAAGGGAACCTGCCCAAAGCAAACAAATACAATCTTCTTAAGACCTAAAGATGAAATGTAGGGTAGTTCTTCCTTAAATTAGACCCTGATAGTTATATTATGTACCTGAATCAGAGCCAATGGTTTTTCTCGACTTCTGATAAGAGCTGCTTCCTGTTTTTGCTCTTCTTCTACAATAGATGCAAAAGTGACTGGAGCTACCACAGGAGCAGTCAATGAAGAAGATAGCCAGGGACTGTAAGAACAATAAAAATGAGTTTCAATCAACTTCTCCAATACTGACAGCGCAGAATTTCCTCTGAAATAAGCAATGCTACGTGTTTTCCTCCAGTGACAACTATATAAGAGGACTTGGAAGCTTTTGCAGATTACAAAAAGAACAGGTAACAGAAAAAAAGGATAGTTATTATTTTATTTGGATCAGTGTTACATGGAAATTTTCAGAAAATTCCAGAATGTGGGGATGAAGTCGAAGCACTATAACTAACTAAATAAATGAATGAATAAATAAATAAAAGTGTGGAGCAGAGAATATTCAAATAATACATTCTACTTAATACCATAGTATTCCCAATTTCATAACATTCTCTGTCAATGCTAAGCAGCAACTTTAGCTGTAGAGGCCCCAAATCAATCAGTTAACCTTACTTGGGACTGTCTAGAGGTGGTAAATCTGAAATATGGTTGCCTTCTGGTCCTGAAGTACCGTGACTAGAACATCTGTAAAACAAATGTCAAAATTGGAGATTAAAACTTCTAGTAATTATTAGTAAACTGCTAATTGATATAGGCTCCTGCCTCAGGAGGCGAATTAATGTGTGCAATCAGGCCTACTTTTAAAATTACAAGTTAACAAAATAATCTACAGATATGTTTAAATACTAAGTTTCAAAATACATAGAAATCAGATAAAGTAGTACCTGAGTTCATGAACTCAATTCATTGCATGATTCTGGAAAAGAGGCCACATTTGTGTTCATGTGGGAAAGATGGTTGCATCATGTTCGTCATCCAATGCAGTGTTTACAAACAAAAGTGTTTGTGAACCAAGGTACCACTATAATTACGAGTCAAATTTTGTGGATGACTAATATGGTTTGATAAGCTAAGGATTATACACAGAACAAGAATATAAGACTCGATCTCTGATAGTTCATAAGCTAAGTGAGGAAACAACATATAAAATGACATAAAACAATGCAACAGAATTTAGGACAGTATTTAACAAGCTGAGTTCTATTAACTACAAAGACTATAAAAATAAAAATGTTTTAGTCACTGGAGAGGAATTCAGGGAGAAGAACTTAGAAGGCAATAATAAAGATTATATGATGAAGCAGATGGGAAGCATTCTAAGAGGAAAAAACTGAAAAAAAGTAGTGTAATGACTGGCCAAATTGTGGAATTTTACATCAAGAGAAGTTTCTACAGATTACCTAAATTGATCAAATGCCTTCTTCCAGCAATGAGCAAACTGACACCTAGATAAGCATAGAAAGCAAAGCCTAAAATACTAACTTCCTGATTCAATTACGCACATTTAGTGGGCATATCTTAGAACTATGAGAAGTGCTAAAAATCAGGCTGATTAATACTCAATCTCTTCCCTTCAAAAATTTCTGGAAGGGGAGATTTGAAAATATTATACTTAAGCAACAAAACAATATGAGAATATTATAACTGATATCTGTATTAATATATGCAAAGTACTATGGATTCAGAGAACAACATAAAATGAAAGAAGGCCTATGCTGATGGTTTCACCAAGGAAATAACAGTAACATTGGGGAGAATAGCTCTGAGACAGGATTTGAGTTGTACAAATACATGGAACTTTAAACTTTTGATGGCTTACTTAAAGTTAAGTGTTCTCTTCAATAAACAAAAAATGATAGATTGATGGTAAGGAAGAGATTTAAAAGGGAAATAAAATTAAAAAGAAACAATAAGGCTGGAGAGTATATAAAATGCACTGAAAGCTAAAATATGTAGACCTGATGTGTATGTAAGGGCAAACAAGTGTACTGATAGCCTAAGTACTTTCATATATATTGTCTCATTTAATCCTTGTGATACTCTGTGAAAAAGATATATTATTTTTGTTATACATAACAGGAAACTAAAATTCAAAGAGTCTTATAAAATTTGCCTGATTCACAAACTGGGTTAAGTAGCAGAGAACTAATTCAAAACCAGGTCTTTTTCACTTATTTCCCTTAGTCTGAAATACATTCTATGTCAAACATCTTCTCATTTTTTAAGGAAGGCTCAATATCACCTTCTTTCTCTTCCTATATGACTTTAATTATTATTGTAAAACTTCATATACTGTGTCATTATTGCTTACATGTCTGTCTTAACTGCTAGACTAGTCTCTCAGGATATTTCATTTGTTTCGTTCATCTTTGTATCTCAATGTCCAGTAGAATACCTGAAACATATTTGTTTATTAAAAAGTAATTAGAGAATAAATGACTGAAAGAGAAAGCCAAAGTTTCTTTTTTTTAAGTATAAGGTAAAATAAAAGCAGTTTTGTTTCTACGTTCCTAATTCCTTTGAATTACTGGTAACTTTTTCTTCCAGATAGAGGTACTGAAATAAAAAATGAAGTGAGAATAGTTCTAGTTATAAGATCCTAATCTTTAATGACATTCTATAACTTTAAAGCTGCTGGATCTTTACCTGACACCCAAAAGAAGAGAAATCTCCAGGATAAAACAGAAGACAGCTTTAGGCCAGGAGAAAAATGAAGTTAAAAAAAAAATTAACTAGAAAGAGGTTAGGATAAACTTACTATGAGATTATGAGATGATGCGAATCTAGACTAGAATATGAAATAAATGCATATAAATTCTATTCTGATGAAATTACCTTTGAGAGAAACTAAACACAAAGTCCCCTGGTTAAGTCCCTTGGAAGGTCTTAAAGGCAGCCATAGAATACAAGTTTTCTAGAGCATTAAAGTATTAATATAGAACAAAAATACAGAACGACTCAAGGTGCTAAATATAATCCTGATGTTCTGGGGATCAATTAAAATGTTCTGACACCCTCAAATAAATGCAAAAATATAGTACAACCATTTGTTACTATTTAATTGCTAAGTAAGAAGCAGCAACCACAAGCTCTATCTTTGAAAATTGTATCAATGGCTAAAATATCTGAACAATTGGACCAAAATGTCTTAAACCGTACAGGTCTTGCTACATCACAGTGAAACAACCAGAGCTTAAATATAACAATTTATGTAACACTTCATAATTTATGAAGCATTTTCATACCCACACTGATATAAGCCTCATAGTAAACTGGTGTGATGGATATTACAATACTATTGTCAAAGACTTTAAAGGAACTTATGTAAAAATCTTTGTAATTGAGCTAGTATAAAATTTTATTTAAAATAAAAACAAACTATGAACAGATTTTTACATAAGATAGATTTTTGATTTCATAAGTACTTTTTCTTACTAATTAGATAATTAGGAACACAAATGCATTTTCTCATCCAGAATCATAGAAGCTATTTTAAGTAAGATGAAAATGAAAGAAAATACATGAAATACCTAAGTAACAATGAAAAGGTAAAAATTGTATAAATCCCTCTTTGTACTTTTTAACATCCCTAAATGACACTGCCTTTCTTGGCCAGGCTTTGGGGGAGAGCTGGGTCACATTTTCTAAAATTAGAAGAATATCTGATTTGCAGAATTTTCTGAGATGAGCGCCTTTCACTGTTGCCACCCTAACTCCCCAAAGGATCATAAGCATTCCTGTCTTCTTGCTTTAACTCCCAGTATTTCCTCAGTTTATATTGTTCTTTCTTCTATATTATTTCTTCTTTTAAAAATCCCACCCCGGGGCCAGGGATTTAGCTCAGCAGCACCATGCCTGACAAGCCCAAGGTCCTGAGTTCGATCCCCAGCACACACACAAAAAAGCCATCCCAGTGAAAGGGATCAGTAATTAAGTGATCCATTTTTCTATTATTCACATGACTATAAACATAATAAGCACACATTTATAATTGAATATAAAAATGTTTATAAACTACAACAGTTCAAGCCCTTCTTTCTCAATGAAGTTGTTCCTAATAACTCTAGCCTGTGGTGATTTTTCTTTCTTTGAACTTCTTATCTGGCATACAATCATATATCACTTTGCAACCATTTAATACTGTTACATTGTACCGCAGTTGCATTCTTTTTCTGTCATAAAACTTCTATGTGTCCACATTTAAATTTACCAACTACATTTTAAACACATTAAAAGATGAGCCTGGGGCTGGGGATTTAGCTCAGTGGTTCCACTGCCTGCTTCGCAAGCATAAGGTCCTGAGTTCGATCCCCAGTACCAAAAAAAAAAAGATGAGCCTGAATATTTTATTTTTATATATACCCAACAGAAGCCAGTAAAATGTTGTTTCTAGCATATGTTACTATGATGTTACTATGTATATGTTATTATGTCCTGTAATTTAGTGAATATTTTATTTTGTCTGTGCTGTTTTATATTTCCTTTTTTAAAAAATAGCTTACTATTTACATAACTTCTATAAAATAAAAACTAAAATTCAATCTGTTTTCTTTTTCAAAATCACTGTCAAATATTAGTCACAGTTATTCAAGACATTAACTTCCATAACAATCATGCCATAAATACATGTTTGATCCATACACTTCTTCAATTCAAACTTCAAAAAGTGTACCTATTATGGCACACATTTTCACAATTAGGAACCATGATGTTATAGCACACTCTAGCGATCAACTATGAAACCGCAGGTCCTTAACATTTTTTGAGTTCTAAAACAGTTACTTATCCAAGAAAAAAATTTTAAATTTCAATATATAGTTAATATTTAAAATGTAAAGTATTACAAAAATGAACTTAATTTTCATACTTTCAAATTTACATGTTTAAGGCATGCAACATAACTCACTATATTAGAAACAAATATTACTTAAAACAAGAGCTACAGTTTTAATTCACTGTGAAAGGTAAAACGAAGAAATGCTATGGAAATACATTAAGAAATTGACCCAATAAAGGAAGTCAGACTTTTCCAAAATATATGACCAAATAGACTGAAAACAGTCAAACTCAATTAGTCAAAGGGTAAGAAGGTAGACAGATGCACAATGCATTTGAGAACAATAATCCTGGAAGGCTAGACTACAAAGGTTACATTGTAAGACAAAACTAAAGAGGCTGGCAGGAGCCAGCCTTAAAGATAACATTAAGAATTCTAGCTTTTATCATAAAAGCAATACACTACATTTTTAAAAAGAACAAAATAGGTCAATATATTAGAAGAAAGGCTATGACAAGATCAGTCAGGAGGGCTACTCTGGTAGCTCAAGTGAAAGACAGAAGAATGAATGAAGGCCAGGGTCTTGGAGACAGTTTTGTATATGTATTAAAGAAATATTTAAGGGCTAAAACCTGCCATGTCCTGATGAGACACTGAATATTACTGAAGAAAACGGAGGAGACAAAGGCTTTCAAGTGCTACTAAGGAAGAATGAGTTGTTCTATGTTTTCTCTATTTTTGTTTGATTTCCATTTTCTTAAAAAGACATATGAGGAAAATGTTAAGTTTGATTTTGGATACAAAGTTTGAGGTGGTCCTCATCCACCTTATTTACCTGATCTGCACTGTGTGACTTCTTGCTTTTCTTCAGAATCAAAATGATCATGGAAAGTAAACACTCTGAATCAATTCAGGTCACTAAGGCAGCTACCACAGCATAACTCAAGACACTCACAAAAGAGAACTTCCAGAACTGCTTCAGAAAGTGGCAAGAACAATGGGATGTGGATTCGAAGTAGGGGGGAATATTTTGAGGAAGATTAATGGCAATGTGTCTTTTACTGTAGTAATTTAAAAAATTTATTACACCCTGTATTAAGACTATCAATGTCTTAAACTGTACCCAATTTATATCTGTGATCCCATCATAAACAATAAATTTTTAACATAAATTTATATGTAAAAAGACTTACACTGGTATCTCTTTTATGCTAGAGTTCCAATTATGATTTTTATTCTAAAACAGCATTCCACTGCTAAAAGTATTTGAAGTTACAGAAGTAAACTAGATGACTTCTACAGATTCTTTCTGATCTCTATATTTTCTGTCTTATAAGAAAATGGCTCAAGAACTTTGCTCTTAAATGTACTTGTAAGAAATAAAGAAGCCAGTCACAATATCAGCAGTAAAAATATCTAAATATCTTTATCTAATCAGTAGTTTCCAAGCAATACTGTTACAAGTCAGTTCCTCTGGAGCTACCTGTAGGGCAGGTATGTGATGTGAAGTTAAACTACTATGGTTACCAGTCCCCTCTCCTTGCTCCAATCAGTTTATATTTGTCTGTTTGATACACTGGAATGAGAGACAAGATTTTTTTTAAAAGAGGAAGAAAAGTTTTACATCCAGTGAAATAAAGTATAATTTATTACATAAATTAGAAGAATCTGGTCACAACTGACACTGTTCATTACATTTTTTTTAATCTAAAACATTCTAAGCGTTAATATTTTTAAGAGATAGTCATATTAGCAAAAATAAGAAAATAAGTCTTCATCTATCCAACCAATTTCAAACATTTTCTTTTTTTCTAACATTGGCCTTCTAAAAACCCGAGGATTTTTCATTTTGAACTATGATTAAGAATTAACATACCATGGCAAGGAAGCTATTTTTATTATAATATTGTTTAAAATTATGGCTAGATGTTCACATAGGTTTTTAAAATATGAAACATTTTTAAAAAATATACTAGACTTTAAAAACTACTACCAAAAATAGCTACAGAAAAAGACACACCCAAAAGTATGATAACAGATGTATAAATAAGTAGATTATGGTATATCCATACAAAAAAACACAACCACCATTGATGAGTCTCAAAATAATTATGCCGAATTAAAAGAAAAGATTCTAAACAAGGATACATACTATATGGTTCTACTGACATAAAATTCTAAAATATAAAGGCTAATCTATACTGAAAAAAGTAAAATGGTAATTGATTGAGGGGAAGGGGAATAAGGAAAATTCTGAGAATGATGATTATGTTCACTATCTTGAATGCAGTATGGATTTCATGAGTGTGTACCAAAATTTCAAATTGTACCATTGAAATACATTCACTTTACCGTAAGTCAAATATTTCAAAGAGGGAAGGAATAAGCATGCTCTAATTTTAAATTTGAATGTGAAACAATGTATAAGAGCCTGCCTCATAGCTGGGTATGTGGTGCATCCATGTAATCCTAGCTGAGATAAGTGACTGAGGAAGGATTGAAAGTTTGAAGCTAGTTTGAGCAACTTAGCAAAACTCTTGTTTCAAAAAACTTAAAACAGGGTGGGCATGCAGTTCAGCAATCCTAGAGTTCATTCTCCATTACTGAAAAAATAAAATCTATTTTATAAAATTTTTAAGATCATTTCAGAGCACAAAACCACTATATAATATTTAAATATAACATATATTAAAGTCTTTTTACCTTACAACTTTTGGGGTCTGAGAATTTTCAATCCATTTAAAACAAGTCTTTTTGACATGATCTCCTGAACTATGGTTAATAACATATTTTTTATCTTCTATTGAGAAATCCCAGAATGACTTGCACGAAAATGAATGTAAAGCAGATGTCCTATAAAAGAAAGCAAAGATCAAGTTAAAACATACATTTTGTAAAAGGGTATTGCTGAAGATTAAAAGGAGACAATAGAATATATGCCAAAAATTTTATAATGATATAATTGAAGAGTTTTCAATGTGATATTGGATCATTGCTATCTATGGTCAACCAACCAAAACAATGCCATAAGAAAAAGGAACCAATGAATACCAACAGGGCAGATAAACCCAGATGTTGAAATCAACAATGACACTGAAGTAGCTATTGTAACTGTGCCTCAGATTATAGCAACAAAAATATGTGCAGAATGGCTTAATGAACAGGTAAACTAGGCAGAAGAAAACAAACAAAAGAACAAAACAGTTTCAAGAAATTGTAATACAATAAAAAAATTCACTTGGATGGACTTAGCAGAGAGAGTGAATAAATGGGATAAATCAATAGAAAAATTTGAATCTTAAGAACAGAGAAAATAAATGAATGAAAAAAATTTGAGTCAGCCATGGTGATTTATGGAATCTTAAAAGGTCTAACCTGTATGACTGCAGTACCAGAAGCAGAGGAGAGATACAGCAGAAAAAACACTTATAGCTAAATGGGTGCATATTGAGGCCATACTCTTAAGTGAAATAAATAGCACACATGTGTAAATATTGAATAGTTTCTCTAGTATGAGAAACTGAAAGTGTAAATAAGGATTAAAACGAATAATTGATAATTTGAAATAGGAAGAAAAGGTCCAAAGGGGTAGGGGAAGTGGAAGGGGAAAGGGGAAAGGAAAGAAAGGAAAGGAAAAATTATGAGAAAAGAAAAAAATGGAAACAAAGTGTTTGTAAACAGGGAGGGGTGGAGGGGGTGAAGGGCGCACAGGTAATGGGGAAAAAATAAGGACCAAGATACATCATGTACAGGTACAAGCACCCAATGACAAATGTAAATGTATTGTATACCTAAAATGTA